CCAGCTTAGGTTCCAGTCTGTTAGTAATTATTCTCATAAAGAGCTTATATAAATGAGATAACAAGCTGATAGGTCTGTAGTTTCCAATTTCTGTTACATCTCCTTTTTTGTGCAACAATATCATAATGGCACTATTCCATTTTTTTTTGTGTCATTCCTATTATTTTGGTCTAAATACTAACGAACACTCACAGAGTAATTTATATAAGCAGCACTGTTTATCATTTTTAATTCTAAAAATTAAGGTAGGATCAGTAGCGTCTGCCAGTAAAAATGTAGCTACATTTCGGCAGTCAAATATACCAGTAAAAAATTTGAATCCAACAGTCGGTCAGAGAAAATACCTGCTCATACCTTTACATTTAATTCAAATAGAAGAACTTCTCAGGGAATGACATACACGGTAATGGCAAACGTTAAAAATGTATTTCTTTCATCAGTTTCAACATGGATTTTGTCTATTATGTCAGCGTAAAAGAACCGTTTTATAACATCTTATTCGATTCACATATACCTTTAAACTTGTTTAAACATAAATCTTGAGTCTCATGAGATTTTGTAAAATATTGACATAGTTCTTATTACGATTTTACAATGATTTTCGTTTTACTTATGATCTGTTTTCTGTGTTAGGCTTGTCTTCTGGTATAAATATTTTAAGGTTAAATAGCAATAATATGAGATAATTATCCTCTAGTTCTTTCGTGTTGTTTATACTCAAAAAATTTAATTGGACTTTTAGAACAAACTTTTAGACATGGAGATAACACTATATATAAGACAGACCCAAGACATTGTAGCTGATTTTGTGAAATGCAGCCGAATTTTTGTATAGGATGGATGACGACAGGTATGCTAAATGTTTGAGAAGGAATGCAGCCAAACTTTTGTTATATTATGTACAAAGTTTAATAATTATGACCAAATGAATGGTTGATAAAAAGATAATTTGCATATCAAAATTTCTCAGTTGGAAGTAGAATATCTTCGTTCTTGTGAAAACTCATTTACTTTCTTTTACTTCTTATTAACATATTTCAACTGCAAATATATAAGGAAATACATGTCATGAGACATCTAAAAAAAAGATAGAAACGATAAGGTAAATGTCATCAACGAAGAGTGACTTAAAAATTTTTGAGGTTTTACGTTTTTCTTACTAAGAACAAGAAAAAAAAACAAGCGAGGCCGCAATTAAACAATACACACAATGTTAATTTGTATAATTGCGTTTTTAAGTTGTTTATTAAAACAATAAGGTGCGCCAACTGTCGACTACTATAAAATATGACTGTAAAATAGCGTGAAAATGGATTTCATGTTTATATAACATTAATAATGAACTCACGAATTTGATCTTTACAACAAAATGATTTAAAAAAAGTTAATACTTCATTTAATACATTAATGAATAAGTAAGCATAAGCAGAATGTACCAAAGAGATGACAAATCAAATTTTCTCAAGAGCGACGAATTCAAATAACAGTTTAAAAAGTAAATAACAAAAAAAAATGACTGGAGACACTAGCACAAAAAATACTAAACAGGAATGGAAACAAATTCAGACCATACTTACAAAAACGAGAGATAAAATTATTAATCCATTAGGCAATTTAAAAAAAAACAACTTAGGTTTGACCTAAAAAGTAAATAAACAAAAAAAAGTGACAGATCTGTTAAAAAAGAACAATATAGACCAAATTATGTATAGTAAGATTATGTACATGGTTAATAAGGACATTCAAAATTTCTATGAGGAAATTATGTATTCTTCTATATCGAGAACAACTGGGAAAAGCTCAAAAATTACACAATTAACTCAGCTAAATCACTTAGAGACGAAAGTAACGAACATTAACATATCGAAAAAGAAAACACCATGCTTTAGAGAGAAAGTGAAGACAAAATGTAAAAAAAAACAAAAGCCTTGTATGTGAAAAAAAACGAAAACCTTATTTTTAATAGAGGACACAACAAACACAACAGACTTACAACCAATATAAACGAAAGAGACATGAACGAATATTTTGATCACACAAATAAAAAGGGAACATTGGCAAAGCTTCTCAAAATAGATGGAACACGACTGCTACAGAGCACAATAAGAAATATAGAGAATGATCATATGGCAAAGGACAGAGATAAACGAATTAATAAAAACAAAACATATTTAAAAGGACACTTGGGCAGACTACTTTCGATCACTATTTCCTAAAAGTGACAATAATAAAACACGAACACCAGAGGTGACGAAAAACGAAGACATCAATATTGAGAAGAGGTAAAGAAAGCATTTAGGAAATTAAAAAAAAAAAACCACCAGGAGGAAAACTAACAACTGGGAGAAAAACAACTTCAAATAATCTGCTATGCAGACGACGTAATACTTCTCCCTCAAAATGAAAATAATTTGCAACGTATGCTGCACCAATTTATTATAACTGCCAGAAAATTTTACAGGTTAATATCTACAAAAAAGACAAAATGCATGGTTATAAAAGCAAATCTGATTAGATGTAAATTGAGCTGGAAGGTCAGATTAATAAAATAAGTAGTAGTTTAAATATCTAGGCATCACATTACTTAGCTACGAAAAGTTCGAAACATAAGTAAAAAAAGAGAACAGAGCAAATAGAACCACAGGTTGCCTGAATCAAACAATATGGAAAAATAAAAATAGGCATGACCCAACACAGTAATGCACAAAAAGTATGTTAGAAACAGCAGAGATGAAAACAGATAGATTGATAGTAAACCCTACGGATTCAGAGCTAGAAGTATATGTAAAAGTGGAGAACATCGGGCATTGAGTAAGAAATAGAAGAGTAGAATAAAATAATGATATAAGCCGAATGACAACAGAGTAGTAAAGACGGCAAGGGACGGTTCCCCAATAGGAAGAGGATCAGTAGAAAGACCACGAAAACGATAACTTACTGAAAGCACATTAAAAACAGACAGAGTCATGTCTACATAAAAGAAGAAAAAAATTTCTCTAGTGCGGTTGAAAAAAAATGAAGTCCAAAAACATATGTTACCGTAAAGTTTAGAAAAGAACCCTGAATGGTGATATTTGAAGAAAGTTAGAAAGATGAGATATACATTTTCGGGGCCTCAACTTTAAGGAAAATATATTTGAATATCTAAGACTGACAGTATAAGCAACGAATAAAGACCCACACAATAAAGCACACATCAACGTAATCTTTTGGTATATGCTGTGCACGAACATTTTACTTTTATTCCGTAACACCAAGGAGTGCTCATGTGATCTTCCTTCGCCACCGCACTGTCAATGGTCTACAAACTATAACGACTTCTAAAATATGAAAGAGTCGGATTAGAAATGCTTAGCCATTTTATAAAATTAGAGACCAAATTCTTATGCACCAAATTTTTTTGTAATAAATAAAATATTTTAATATTTAATACTTTTTAGTAACTAACAACATTGTGATAAAAACATATTCGAAATATCACTGTGATTTGTGTTATACAAAACACAACAAATACTTCCACAGTTATATTTGTCTTTTGTCTCAGGCAGGGCACCTTACTGAATAAAGATAGGAAGAAATTGGAAGCAAAAAACAAGTTTTTGCACTCAGACTGAAAATTAATTTTAATTTCAAAATAGAAATTAAATTTTAAACATTGTGGTTGGAAATATATAGATATCTAAACGTGAAATAAATAAGTTTAATAAAGAAGAATTTTGAAATGTTTGTTTATTATTCTTCCCTCTCTGATCTATGAAATTTTTATAGTTTTTATTTCTAAGTGTGTAATTGTTTAAAAAAATATGAAAGGTACAGAGAGGAAATGTCAGAATATAAAACTAGATAGAACTTAGTCAATACTCTTTTTTAGAGTAATTTACCAGCAAAATTACCATATATTTGAGAATATGCTATAGGCTGGTAAGAATAAACAAGAAATGAAGGTGTTGGTACATAATTGCACCGAAGAATAACTAACTATTAGAGTCGTGTGGTCATAATAGGAAAGCATATACTTTTCAAATAAGGTGATTGAATAAGAAAAATAGATATAACCTAAAAAGTTTATTACATAATATTCAGGCAAACCATTTTCTAATTAACGAGATTATGTGAGTCACGTGTAAATACAGTCGAAGTATTATTCTTAAGCAATCAATTTTTTACAGATTGTAAAAAGGGGAAATAAATAATTACTATATTTAAATCATCACTCTTAAATACCACAGTTGAAGCAATATTTCTTACTAACTGATTTTAATTAGTGTTCTCTATAATTAGCTAATAAATGACCTAATACGACGATGTTTACGTTTCAGTTGCACAAAGAACTTATTAAAACGGAGTGGATAATCAACTTCATTAGAAATTCATACTAATTACTCAGCTGTTAATTAAATATATAAAATAACTCGGTGTGGTTGTAGTTAAATAAAAACGTTTTAAAACCGTAAAATAGTTTCGAAACACAAAAACAAAAACGTTTTAATATTTTCTAGTAACAAATCTTTCCCTTGGTAATTTAAATAATAATCGTTTGGTCTCTTGTCATCTGGACTTTTGTGTGTATTGTATTGAGAATTTTGAATAAGTTTATGTATTATTAATTTTATAATACTTCCGGAAACTTAGATTAGGATGGGTTATGACCCGTTATATGAAATTTAAAATATGAATAAAGTAAATCTATTAGTAAATAAGTTATTGTGTACTGCTTAAGAAAGTATAGAGGAATTGCAATGAACAAAACATTATTTTACCTGTATAAATACTAAAATTAAAGGTTTTAGATATTAGGAATTTTTAAGCTGTGTTATTTGAAAACTGTGTAATAACCGGTACAAATTATTTAGAAAATTTACAGTATATTTAAATAATTTAAATTTAGAAAATATATTATTTATCGACAATTTTTTTTCTGGTTATGTTTTGATTTATATTCAGAAATATATTTAAATTACCAAAAAGAAATTGATATAAATTAAATTATAAAAACTTACGGCTTGTTGTTGCATCATAGCTTGTTGTTTAGCCATCATACTTTGTTGATCCTGGGGTCCGAACTGTGAAATTGGATCGAACGGCGGAGGCGGCATCATCAATGGCACCAGAGGCGGCTGAAGATTCATCGCAGCCAAAGCGTTTAATCCTAACGGTAATCCCATACCCATCATCTGCATCATAGGATTGAAATTAAGTTGTTGAAGCTGCATGACGTTTAGGGCTGCCTGCATTTCTGACATTTGTTGGGCCAAAGCCACGGGATTTTGTGCCATACTTTGAGCTATCATGGCTTGAATATTGGCTGGTAATGAATCGGTACTACTGGCAGGAGTTGTCGACGAAGTCGGTGTCGAAGGGGCCGTGGAAGTAGCCTCTGGTGGAGTTTGTAGGTTTAGTTTGGCATGTAAAGTTTCTTTAGATTCATCCGTCTTCTCTGGCGTGGAATTTTCAGTAGGGCTGGACGTCACCGCCGTGGAGGAACTGGATGGAGTTGCACCAGGAGTTGAAACTGTGGGCACGGTGTTGAGGGTCGAGGAAGTCGCCGCTGTCACCACCACCGTTTTCTTTTCGTATTCGGTTTTGAACTGTTGAGCATATTTTTCTAAGAATTCTAGTGGCACTAAATCTTTATGAACTTCTTCACAGTGAGATTTTAACACCCACACACTAGAGAACTCTTTATTGCAATGTTGGCACGTAGATTTACTTACTTCAGGTAGGTTGGTTTCTATGTCCTCCTCTGCCTTTGTCTCGGCACCCTCAGCGGCTACTGGCACCGTCTCACTGGGCGGCTCCTGCGGGACTGTCTGGACTGGGGGCGGTGAAGAATGTAACACTACATTGGCGGCGGCGGCATTTTCTTCCGCTTCTCGCTGTTGTTGTCGCTGTCGCCGTTGATGGCTTTCGTTGTATTGCATAACTAGATCAAATCCGAAACTTTCAAGTAAATGTTTATACATATGCGAGCCTGATTTTTTCGGTATAATATTTACTTTTATACCGCCCTCTGGATTATCGCTCGGAGGTGGACTCTTAGCTTGACTTGGTTCGTGCGCCCCTTGAAAGATCGCCATAGGCGTTGCAAACATACAGTACAGCTGCTGATGGGCACTCAACTGATCTTGCGAACCGAATAGTGCACCGCACTTAGAACAACTCATCATCCCCTGACTACCTGAGAGCCCAGGTGATGGTGGGGTGGGAGAGGGTTGTTTGTCCCCACTACCTGGCGCCGGACTGTTTTGTTTCGGAGACTGCATGGCTTCGGGTTGTTCTATTAATGGTTTCGACAGGTCGATCTGACCGGACAGTGCCAAATCTTGTAATTTACTCGCTCTCGTTTGATGTAAAACACTTCTCATATGTATATCTAATGTACTGCCTTGTGTATATGCTACTTTACAAATATTGCACCGATATCTCTTTTTATCGTCTTCTTCAGACGACGTACTTTTAGGGGTTAAAGTTAAATTTTGCGGCTGTGTACCGCTCATAACGGGCGAGACAGGTGGGTTATTATTATTATTTTGTTGTTCTTGCATTGCTCTCTTCAATTTATGCAAATGACTCACAGAATTATAATGAACAAGAAGTATATTTTTTTGAGTAAAGCTCTCTTTACAAACATCACATTTATAGGGTCGGTTAGGATCGAGATATTTTTCCATAGGGTAACTTAATTTCTCACCCTTTCGGTGTAAAAGGGTTTTATTGTGAGCGGTCAAATAACTTTGTCTTGTAAAGGCGACTTTACAACGGTGGCATTTATATTTTCTGTTTGGATCGTTATAACTGTCTTCTGCGATAGCTTGACTATTCAGGTAATCTTCCAAGAATTGTTGATCTTTATATATGATACTGTCATCTGAGTTTTCGCCGTCATTTTGATTAATATCATCAACCGATTGACTACTGTTTAACTCTTTACTCTCGTCACATTCTGCGGAATCATCTTCAGTGCGTAGAGATTCCTTTTTTAATATATCGTTTGTTGAACTATCTAAAACTTGTCCTTGCAATCCGGCCAGTAATAAGGGATTGTTCATTAGACTTTGTTTATATGCATTTAATTCTTCGTCTGTTAATTCGGAGTGAACACTTTCAACGTGTTTATGCAATGCTACAAGTGATCTAAAACTTCGACCACACAAAACACATTTTGTGGCGTCCCTAATCATGTGATATTGAGAATGCAATTGTAGTTTTTCTAACGTTTTAAAAGCCAAAGAACACTGATTGCATCTATATTTATATACGTGTTTTTCAGAAACAGACATATTTGCTATTGAATTTTTGGCATGAACTTCTTTAAAATGCATTTGTAATGTATGTGCAGTAGGAAAAAAATGATTACAACCCTTTTTCCAGCATAGATATCCCGGCCCACTGGGAGTCTGTTTTATTTCTAAATGACCGGTTTCGTTCTGATGATAACATAATTCGTCTATATTTCGAAACGTCCTAAAACACGTGCCACATCGTTCAGACTCTGACTCGGTATTATCGTCACTATTAGGCGAGAGTAAATCGACATCAATTTGGCTTATGTCGGTTTTCTCGAACTTGTTGGATTCTTTGGAAGACACTGAATTTGGTGATACGATTTGATTAGGTGTCGTCTGCGACTGATTAATCGAATTGTTCGGAGTTGGAGTTCGAGAAGTCTGATTCAACCAATGACTTTGATCGACAAGCATAAGCAATCGCTGCAGACCTTCGCTATTTACAGAGTGTATCTGCATAACGTGACGTTCGAGTAATAATCGATCTTTAAAAACATCCTGACACAGAGGACAATGCAATGGGGGTTGTTCAGGCATGGAAGTGTTATTTGTACCGTGTTGGGCGAGAATATGTGCTTGAATGCGCATTTCAGAATCGCTACTATAATCACAGAACGGGCACATGTGCTGAGAATTGCCACTCTCGCTATTATTAGCTTCGTCGTTTTCTTCTCGTGGTTCGGATTTGACTTGCTCTCGACTCGCTTCAATCTGACTTAGTTCCAAATTGATACTATCTCTTCGCTCTGTTGGAGAATAAAAGAACATTTTAGAGGTAAAATTCGGGTGGGTATTGTTAAAGTAATGACAGGGATTAACGGTATCTCTGTAAAAACTTAAAACACCGGGCCCCTGTGACAATAAAAACAATTGTTTGGCCGCTGCTATTGTGTATGTGGGCCTGAGGCTGGAGACCACGCCTTATCGGCAGGCTTACGTTCGATAAAAAGTATTCCTAATTATATAGGCTAAATATTTTTAATAAAATCCCCGCAATTACATGCGTCAGGCATATGTTAGAACACTTGCGGCCTCGCCTCGGGTGTTGGGCTATATTACAAAAGTACGCCAATTATTTACACCCCAAATTTTGACAAAAAAATATATTATTACTGTAATATCGACCTTTTTCAATGGAGTTTCTTCTGCTAACTGGCTATTATATTCAACCTAAATTTGTAATTATATTTTTGATGTTCTAAGTACAGGTAAATGCAATATCTACTTGGTATCTTATTTTGGAGAAAATAACAATGAATGAATTATATGTAATGTAATGTTTTAACACATTATCTGTGATATTTAATATTGTATTTGTTAACATACGGGTGGTATCGCCTTATTTGAATATTAAATATGTATACGTAATAAATATGTTAAATTAGGTATGAACTATACATTATCACTGTAACATTAAAATAATTAAGAATATTAAAATAATTATGATAAGAGTTTTGATAAGCATTAATACAAAATGTCTTTAACACGAGTTTGGACGTACAGTTGGAAATTAATTAAATTAATGTTTGGTAAGTTTTATATTATTATTTAAAACTATATTTCTCTTTCTGTGCTTTAACTATTACCTTGTAGACATTTTTTTAAATCAGAAATGCTTTATATAAACAAAATTTAGATGGCTAACAACATTATTTTAGTTAAATATTTTGGCATATTACTGCTTCTTTGATGATGAACTTAAATTACTCAATTGAATCACCGACATTATGGTGTTCCATGATTTTTAGTTATTGATCTTAATTGATTTAACATAATGTATCATTTTCCTCATTTTACATATAGATATATGCCGGCAATATTTTTTTTACATATACTATTAACATTTTCTGTAGTTGACTATTTCTCTTTTTGATATTATAGTTTTTAAAAGCATAAAAGAACCTTATTTAGACTATATCTTATCTTATATGCTCTATATATCTCATTTGTATTTAGTTTAATAACTAGCTACCCGTACTGAATTGTGGTAGTTAGAAGTAAAGCATCACTTATTTGCGTATAATCTATTTATTTATATTAAGAATTATATACATTAAATATTTGATTAGGCCAGTTCAAAATAAAGGAAATTTCAAGTTTTTGTTGATCTCAGCGAAGTTCAGAAACAACTAAAAATTGTTATTTACATTTTGAAAGATAATTTTGAATATTTTAGAAGTAAGAAACATATTCAGGTCTTTTTCATGTATTTTTCTTGGTATCTTTTTAAAATTGGCGTACTTTTGACAAAACAAAAAAAATCCAAAATTTTCAAATAAATAAAAAATTATATACCTAAATCAAGTACATATTTGTGTGTGGGTGTATATGAAAGATAAATCAATAAATTAGAAAATATAAATAAAAAATATGTGCTTCTTTTAATTTTTAAATATTAATATTCAAAAATTATAAGCCTCACCTTTTAAATAACTTTCACAATAGCATTTTACTGTAATTTTCTATAATTTTATTTTCTAAAAATAATCTAAAATTTGAAATATATATAAAATATACTATGGTTAAAAGTTATTGAGCTAGAATAATACAGAATTAGACGAATTATAAAATTTCATTCAAAATACTAACACATTTTGTAAAGAAATTACATAACACTATTAGATAAATAATAAAACGAGAAAATAAAAAAATAATGGTTCAATGGGCTGCAAAGGAAAACAATCGAGTTGCTCATCTCCTACCCAGTATATAGCATCAAAGGAATCATTTTACGACCTATCTTGACTAAAGGAAAGCCTTTATTTGCCATATAATTAGCTTTTATGTATATTAATAAAACATAAAATTTATAACAATATTGCGATATGTTTAAGAAGACTAAACTTCACCGATAAACCATACCAATGAAACGAATATTATTCCAAAATACTCCATTAAGTCCACTGTGGTTTTCTTTAGCAATGAATCTACCAGTCATTTAATACATTTTACTGACTATAATTTGGAAATAAAAAAAACAACGCTGTATGATGTAGCTGAATCATCTTGTAAATATTGATGATTTCAATGTAATGGCTTAGCTTAGACTCAAAATGACCTGGACCAGATGCTAATATATATATATATATATATATATATATATATATATATACATATATATATATATATATATATATATATATATATATAATATATATATATTATATATATATATATATATAAACCAAGCCCGAAACCGTGAAGAAGAAAAATGAAGACAGAAGTAATCACTCTTCAAGTTTTTACTGGTATTGCTATCAGTAAATAGTTGTTTAAGGTTTTAAATACTAGGTTCATGCTCTACTAGGTTATATAGTCGGAGAGACTAGTGACCCAATGAACTCTGAGAGGCTAAAAAAGTGGCCACCCTATGATTTCCGAAAATAAAAATTCATTGGAAGTTTTATACACTGTTTCATATTGCATCTCAAATTAAATATTTTTTGCGATCTTGTATGCTTGTTTTTGACATTTTTTACGTTTATGGTTTCGGTCGTAGAAGAGTTACCTCGCAAAGAGTTTTATTGTGATGGAACTTTAAAGAAATCGTCATTTTACTGCAACTGCTAAAGAAACCGTCTGTAGGAAGTTCAAAATGGGAATGTAAGTGTGAGAACGGTTAGAAGATGCCTCAATGAAAAGTTGTAGTGGCAAGAAGAAAGGCTATTGTTCCCGGATTACAACCCAGACACTGTAGGAATCGATTAATTTTTTCTCGACATCAACACTGGGATATACATGATTGGAGGTGAATTCCCTTTACTGATAAATGGTTTTTCTGTTTGAAGTCTGGCAATGGCCGAGAGAGGGTTTGGAGACGGAGAAATGAAAGATATACTCAAGCTTGTATGTCCCAGACAAGAAAGTTTGGCGGTGGTGGTGTCATGGTTTGGGCTGGATTCTCATTTGAAGTTCGAACTAAACTTATTTTCATCAATGGTTCCCTGAATGCTCACTGGTATATAGAGGATGTTTTGGCAAAAGCAGTAGTTTCATTTGGTTCTTTTATTGGGGACAATTTCGTCTTTATGTATGATAATGCACGTCCGCATACTGGAAGAATCCTGACATATTACTGGGGGAAAGTTGGAATTAAGACTCTAGAACGGCCAGCTTGAATCCCCAATCTGAATATCATCAAACACCTTTGGGATGAACTTCATCGTAGGGTTATAAGTCAATCAGGCCAGCCAGAAAGCCTTGAAGAACTTAAAAACATGCTTTGTGAAGAATATGAAGGTATTCCTTATGTTTTTATTCAAAATTTTTTCTTTTTTCTTTCAAATCGAATGCAAACAGATATTGATGTTTTAGGGCATAATACCCGTTATTAGACAATTTTGTTTAAGTTCATTCATAATTTTTATTGTTTGTAATTCGTTTCGAAAATCTTCAGTAAAAAGTAAAAAATAGAGATAGCCTCTTATAAAGGCACAGAGATAGTAATCTCTTAGTGTAGTAGATATGACCACGGTGTCTAGAAAAAAGGGAACTTATAAATATATTTCAGCAATTTAGAGAAACATTAAGAGCCCATTTTCAAAATCAGTGTTTCCATATATCCAATATGGACGACAACGTAATTAAGTCAGCCAAGATTATGTTACCAATGCAGCAACAAAGAATTATTTATTTTTATCAGGAAATATGTTCCCTAAAACTAAAGATTTTCTATTGGCCACTTAGAATCAAGTAATTCCAGCAAAAATCACCTAAGAGATTTCGTTTCAAAACTTTCAAGTGTACAACATCAAATGCCGTAATTGGTGTAAAGCCCGACAGACCAACCAATATCTAAATGCTTTAAAATGACAACCAAAACCTACACTGGGATTAGACTTAAGTGAATTTTCGCCTGACGAAATAAGATCTCCATATCTTAATATTGCGATAAAAATTAATTGCATAAACCTTAAGTTCCTTAAAAATTGGAAATATACGAGGCATTGGTACAATGGAACAAAATATGGAAGTGTTGCTTCAAACGCAATCTGTGTGAACAAAATTAATATACGTCTATAGTTAACGATATCTGCCATTGTAGCCAACATAATTGATAAAAATGAATGGTGGATAAGCAGTTTGAGAATAATTCTACCTACAAATAATAAATAAATATTCATAAACACTTTGTAAATGATAAAAATAAAAAGAAATGCTGCCAATAAATGTTGACTCGGAAACAATTAAATAAGTAGTAAAAACTGAAACAAAAATAATCGTTAGAAAATAATACGGAGAAATAAAAAAAATTATAAATAAAGATAAAAATTATTGCGTCAGTAAATTCACAACACGAAAGTTTTGTAAAAAGTGAGAAATACCCCATTATAAAAAATAATCGTCAACGATTAATTATTTCTTTTTTTCTTATAATTATATCAGTAAATTATATTCTATAAAAATTTTGTACTTCGCACTTTTTATTTAAATATTTAGTAAAAACTCACTGTGAATAAATCATTGATACTTAAAATTACACTAACGTAAAATATTAAACAAAATAATATCAATATCAAGTATAAATATTAGATGTTATCTAGTTGGTATTAACTTTTGACGAACAACTTACCAGGTGTTTGTTGTTGTTGTTGTGTTTGTTCAACGGGTCCAGCGACGACGTGGAAAACTTCTCCAATTTCTGGACTATTATCTTTACCCTCCGCTCGCCTTTGAAGTTGATGGAGTTGTTCCATATGCAGGTGTTTTAATGATCGGACGTGTTGTAAAAGAGGTAGTCTAGTAGTAGCTGAGAATCCACATAAAGAACAATGGTAAACCTTGGATTGGTTATGATTCAGGTTAGAACATCTTTCGACGAGATGTTTCATTAAAGCAACACCAGCATCATGTCTTCCTGCGGCTGCGTGTAGCTGCAATTTGTGTGCTGAATTGGTATAATAATCACAAGCGTTACAACGAATTTGAACTCCGCCAGGTGCTGAAGCATATTTGAGCTTCCATTCGTTCCTCGGACCTCCTTCTTTGACGTGGTTTACGTGTTGCAGTCTCTGGAGATGCTTATCAGTCTTACAATGGAGTTGAAAATTAGCTTTTAGGTTTGTTTTGTACGTGCAAAGCTTACACACATAGTGGCCAGCTACAACTGCAAGAATTTCTTGTTCTCGTAGCCGTGTCCGGTCTAATGCTAAATGCCTTCCAAGCTCTTCTAGGCTATCACTTTGGAAAATATTACATACACAACATTGATACGTTTTATCTGGATCAGGGTCCGCTGGTTCTGGAGGCGGTTCCATTGTCTCTGGATTAAGACCCAGATCTGAATGTGCCGACATATCTGCCGGACCTGCATGTCCTGGTAATTGGCCACCAGTCATCATTTGTATGAGTAAAGCTTGATTATATGCCATATCAGCTAAAGCTGCTTCAGGTTTATCACCCAATCCAGGGTAGATTCCGTATAAACTTTCCATGTGTTGTTGCGGGTGTTGTTGATGATGCAATGCAGATAACGTTTGCATATGTTTTACGTTTTGTTGTAATACTAGCATATTGTGAGTGTGCTTTTCGGATGTCATATGTATTCTTAAATTTCGTGCGACATTAGTTTCATAATTGCAGACATCACACCTAAAACTAGGTTTGGGCTTATGGCCACTGCTCACTGGGGAATGATGTAGAGGTGGTGCTTTAGGAGACGACTGCCGACTTTCTGTATTTGGTCCACCTCCATTTTGTAATTCTTGCATGTTATTTAAATGTTTATCTGACTGCATGTGTATACTAAGATTTCCTTTGGTTGTCGTTGAGTAGTTACAAACTTCACATCGATAAGGTTTATAACCACATGTATAAGTTTCTCCCCTTGCCAATCGTGGATGAGGTTGACCGGCTATACAATATATACAGCTGGTCTCTGCTTCAGGATGCTTTTCTTTCATATGAATTTCTAATGTTTCTTGATACTTGTAGTGCCAGTTGCATTTTGGACATTTCAATGTTTTGCATGAATTTCTGCTGTGAACATTTGCTAAACCGGCAGGCCCTAGTCTTCCAGAAGCCAGAATCATTTCACAGCGGGCACATTCAACGCCAGATGGTCTTCCTTGAAGATGTTCAGGACAAACTCCTATCGTAGTACCAGTCATAAATGCTGGAGGTGCGACGAAAGGAGGTGAGGGTGATTTTCCTGGAGTATTTCGAGACGTGTTGCAGGATGGCGACGTTTCAGACATAGGTGAAGGACCTTCATTTCGACTTTGTACAGGGTGAACAGGAACCATTTGATTTGAATTGTGATGTTCATGACTTGATGAGCCAAGCGGTTCCAATAACGAAACCATAGGCCTTTTGTCTGCTCCTACGCATTGCAATATCGCCGAACAATCTGCTGCTAAAACTTCTCGTTCGTTTTCTTTGAGAGTTACACCATGTTCGGATTGTGCGTGATTCGCAAAAGACCGAGCAAAGCCGAAGCTTAACTTACAAACGAAACACATTAAGATAGGTTTAACTGGCACAGAAGCAGGCCTTGGGGGCCTAGCGTCTCTTAACGCGATAACGCGGTAGCTGTGGACAGCAGGAAGATCCGTAGGACGGGCGGGCTGCCTCAGTAGCCTAGAAACGTACACTGCCTGAAGAGGTGGCACAATTTCGGGAATGTTGGTCTGTTCTATGTGGGTCTCGCTATCACTTTCGGAATCCTCGATGATGTAGGCAGAGCCATCTGGATTGTAGACGATCTTGCCGGCGAACTGCTCAACGTCAGAGGTATTGATATCCTCTTGGGACATGACTGGTGTGGGCAGTCGCGTCGGAGGCGGCGGTGGAGGAGAAGCGCCCGGGGCGGCAGGTGGTGGACTCGCCTCCTGCTCGGGGCTCATGGCGTTGCTGTGACTATTCTGCCGGTCGGTGCGGCCGCCGGAACTCTGCTCAGGCGCCGCGGACAGAGTTGGCATCGCGGCGCATCACATGTTCGCCAAGAAGATGCCCTGTAACAAAAAACATTGTTATTACTAATCAACTATTAGTTATCTAAAGGAAATATATATATATATATATATATATATATATATATATATATATATATATTCATTATTTAAATTTTTCTTTTTTCTCCAATTTATCTTGAGTGATCAAATCGATATTCTGCAAGTAATAGCCAACAAATGAATAAAGATGATTTAACATATACAATCAAAGAAAATAACGTAGGTATTAGCTAAACAAATAGTATGTGTATGGGGTATATTAATATTAAAATATATCATCAATTATCTAAAATTTCGACAAATTAAATAAACTTTTGTTAATTATTTTAAAAATATGTGAAATATTTTTTCTTTATTTGTAGTGTAGTGTACTTTACATTGAACATAATGTTTCTCAGTGTAATCGCCGATTTTTAAACTGACTGTTCTGATTTGGTTCCAATTAAATTTAATGGCATTAATAAATCTTAATTATTATAATAGTCGGGGACTGATCGAAACGATTTAGAATTCCTTTGTCTAGAAGAATGAGATACATTAAATATTCCGTTGTTAGAGAGAACAACAATCTATGTAATTGATATCTTGGGGCAGTGCAATCAAGACCGATCTAGTGGTTAAATATTCAAGCTGTTATAACACGAGCTCTTTTCCCGAACAATATTGGCATCTGAATATTAAAATCAAAAATTATATTGTATGCACGCAAATAATGTAGAATTAAGCCGAGTTTACAGTATAACATCTTTGAGATTGCAAATCTGCCTGACCCCAAGCTAAAATCAAACGATAACTGTCGATAATTTGCTCTATTATCCTTTTTTAGAACAGTACCTTTATTTATTGTCGATGATTATTAGAACCTTATGTGCTTGTAGAGATAAATTATAATTCATAACAACCATTTTGTAATAGTGCAGTAAATTAAGCTCGTGATGCTTGTGCTTTAACAGCAATCGATTTTCGTTTTCATTAAGAGATTATGACGAAGTCTATCTACAATATTTTCACAAATAAACATATATGTAAGAATATTCTTTGTATAAACTTCCGTCAACGGTCGAATCCATCATTTATGTAAATGGTTTATATATAGTTTCTCTACTTCTAGTTTCTATTCTAGTCCAACGATAGCTATGATTGTTTTAAATTCTTACAGCACCTTTCTTTCTTAATCTAGATTATCTCCATATTTAAGGTAAACATACATTTATTGAACTTTATTCATAGTTATCACTTGCAAATCGTTTTATAAATCTCATACCGTTTTCTACATGCTCATTTAAAACCATATGCTGCTTTTCTATTTGTGTCTTCATATTAATTTTTAAAATTTAATAAAAGTAAACCATACTTAATCGTTAATTGTTTAATTTTTATTGATTGTCAGAATAAAAACATATGTCGATAATGATATTTTACTATAACAAGCTATAATTTAAATTCTGCCAAAAATTATTTCGCCTTCTGCCAATTATCTTCATTTGCTACGCACATATGGTTTCACTCCACGTCACTAACTCTTTATCTCTACAAAAAGAATGGAACAATGGAAAGAAATTCATTATTTACCGTAACACGTTTCTTTAGATAGTAATATGGCATGCCAATTTTTAACACCGTATAAATTTATAGTATAGTGGGAAACTGTGGAGAGACATTGTGTGCAACTTAAGAAAGCAAAAACATATATACAGATAAATCTAGAGTATCTTTTATAATTATATTTATACGCATTTGTGCAAGAAGTAATATGCATTACATATTACGTTCACAGGGATGTAACTCTCGAACCGTAACTCATGGATTTAGAACAATATTTTCAAATAATTATTTTTTTAATTCTTAGGTTTTAGTTGGGTTTACGTACTCCACGTTGGGAATTTCTCTTAATCAATTGTCATTATTTAAATTCATATATTTCTAGAAATGTCGTCTTTGCTTATTTTGGAATTGTCTACTCTTGGAATTAGAAAGTCTACCAGCAAGTATAATAATAAACCAGTTAACATAAAATAAATAAATAATAATATTGATGAACATGAACATAAAACAGTTCTGATGAACGAGAATAAAGACAATCTATAAAGAATGATACATTAGTTCAACAATAAGGCAAAGGAATAAAATGTTATAAGATATGTAAGATATATGACAGGTATGTAAGAAATACGTTTAGGATATACAATATAAATTAGAAGGCATAACATAAAAAGGAAGAATGATGGTATACCATTTTTTAATTAAATATTTCTAAAATAAAAGACATTTAAGATTTAATTTTACGTATAGTGCCTCTGTATATTCGCTTATACGTATTTCATCCAAACAGCAGAGATCAAGAGACGAGTTAGACTGGCATGGACGGTATTTGGCAAACTAAGCTACATTCTTAAAAACAAAAGATATCCACAGCATCTCAAGACCAAAGTATATAATCAATGCGTACTCCCTGTTCTTACGTATGGCTCCCAAACGTGGACATTTACAAAATCAAACATGGACTAAATCATAAAAACCTAAAGAGCAATAGAAAGACAAATGTTGCACATAAGACTAATGGATAAGAAGAGAAACGAGTGGATAAGAGAGAAAACAAAAGTGAGGGATGTTAGACAAAAAGTTGCAAAATTGAAATGGAGATTTGCCGGACACAATATAAGACAAAAAAAAGACCGATGGAACAAAATTCTTATAAGTTGGAGACCGTGGGAATATAAACGAAGCAGAGGAAGGCCCCAAATGAGATGGGCATATGATATCAATAAGCACGTGGGCTCTAGATGGATGACTGTAGCGACAGACAGAGAAGAATGGAAAAGGATTGGGGAGGCCTATGTCCAAAGATGGACCGACGAAGGCTAATTAGATAGATAGAGACGTATTTCATCCTAAAAGGAGTCTTCGGAGCGATCATTCATAGAAGTCCTGAACGTGAAAACAATCTTTCCTGTCGAAAAGGAAGCAACGATAAAATTGCTTTACTATGGACGCAATGGCGACATCTGATATTACATCACAAACTAGAAATCCGAAGATTTCTAATTCAACGAAAGCAAAATTCAGATTTTCGCTTTAATTTGTGCCTTCTAAGAATTGAAAGGCAAACAGACGTTGAAAAAGATATAATTAGAAAAAATGGGGAACTTAAAATTGCATTCCACAACATATCTCCTCAACTAAGCAAAAATCCTTGGCCAATTGGTTTCTCGTACTCATACAGAGTATATCGAAATAAAACGAAAGACAGTTAAGATTTTATTTCAAGTACAGTGCCTCTGTATATTTGCTTATAAGTATTTCAGCCTAAAAGGAATCTTGGGAGCAACTATTCACATAAGCCATGAACGTAAAAACAATATTTCTTGACGAAAAGGAAGCAACGATAAACTGGCTTCACTATGGACGCAATAGCAACATCTGATATTAAATCACGAACTAGAAATCCGAAGATTTATAATTTGAGGAAACCAAAATCCAGATTTTTGCTTTAATCTGTGCCTTCTAACTAGAAATCTTTGGATTTCTAGTTCGTGATTTAATAAATATTTCTTTTTGGCTAAAGTAATATTAAAAGCAAAAGCGAATTTGATAGATATCTGGCAAAAGCTTAGTATGTCCATTGAAACGGTTAAAATAAATGAGAATTTTTCCATAGCTTTCGCCAATATTTATTAAGAGAAACGATTGAAAAGCTAAATATGGTATCCGTAACATTTGAAAAATCCTATTCTTTTATTTCATCTTTAGCAGTTATTATAAATGTGGATCACATCTGTTATTAATCAAACAGACCGCGTCAAAATGGCCGACAACGATTTTTGTTACTATTTAGGAAATAATTATGTTTATCATGAGATATCGATTAAGTCTGGTCCCAGAAAGATGATTAAAAAAATTATATAGGTCCGATAAAAAATACGCAGTTATTAAATTCGTTTTTACTAAACGACCCACGATCCAAAAATGAATCTTTTCAAATGCCCAGAGTACTAATTTGAGAGATTTCGTCGAAAAAATTTTATAATTATGTGTAATTTTGATTATAAGTGAGGGTAAGGCGCCGCCATAGAGTCGAACAAGTCATTTCTTTAGACCATGGACGTGCTAACAGGTTTTTAATCGACGAGCGGTTTTCTCCAATTAATAAAGATTGCCAATTCTGGATATAACCGCGCGGTTTTAGGTCCGTCATTAGATCTACCTTGGGTCTTAATAATGCTATACTGAATAAAATATTCTAGTCTGGAGGACTAATTAATTTTAATGTGTATAATGTTTTGCCAAATTTAACATTAAGAATATAGTAAAATTTTTAGGATCGTAAATACCAAATAGTATTAACTACCACAATAACTAACAATTGTACAATAATATGTCAACAGTCTCGGATTTCAATAAGTATTTCTAAATAATATTAATGTCCATTTAATTCATCATAAAACAAATAACTAAAGATATTAAGCCACTATCACTTATATTTCTTTGGAGAGCCGTAAGAGTTTTTTGTAGTGAAGGAGTCTTCATGTTCGTTAATTATGTAAGGGAATAATCGAAGCTGAGAACGATTCAACTCCAGGTATCTAGGACACCTGGTTTAATAAGCCTTCTCCTGACTTACGTCCTGAGTTTCAAACCATTCCCCAGCTTTTGCTGGAGCAAAAATTTGGAACGAACACATATAAACTGTCAAGTTTAGTCAGGCGGTAACTGTGACAAAAAAATTTAGCTAGACAAGAAAAGAGTAATTGTTGCCTCGATAGAAAAATGTCTCGAAATCAGTTCTAAAATCTATTCAAAATCAAAAAGAGATATACCAAATATTTTATATGCCCAATCTGTAGCTTTGTATCTTATCTAGATAACCAAATCACAAGAAAGTGATGGTCGGAATATCAAAAGTTAATATCAAGATTCTTCTTCTTCTCATGGCGCCGTCTCCTTTCAAAGGTTGGCGATCCAAATGG